TATTAGGGAATAAGTTGAATGTGAGGAATAGTGGTAAAAAGTTGAGTAAGAATTATTTGTCCTTGATTGCCATATTGAAGGAGAGAGACGTTGTTGAGCCGCCAGTTAAAAGAAGACGACTCAACTTGTCTGACTAGTGACGGTTCTAACTTCATTCACATGTTAGATTAAGCTCATCAACCAAACCAGCTGTACCAGATTACGCAGCCCCAGTCATGCCTTTTTTTGGGTGGTCAAATCTTAATTACCCTAGACTGAGAGGTTATGACAAGTTGTTTTGTAACTTGCCTTGCACACTTACAAGCTTACATCTCATTATCTTGATCATAATTGTTTACGGACTTACGTAGTCTCGGTCAGGGCTTTCTCTTGGGTCATTATGCCTTTGTGATCAGATCCTGACATTATCCTTTTTTGATCACTCTGATTTAGGACCGGTATTGTGTATAGACGTTAACAGACACACATACACACACCAATACGAAAGATAATTAGCCAAACCATTCTATATATATCTGGGTTTTTAATTTTCCTTTGCGTAATTAAGTCTATATAAGAGGTAAGATAGTTTCGAATAGTCTTCCTGACCTATTATCAACGAGAGACTATTACAAGAATGAGTTCCAGCTCTGAGGAAGTTCATCATATGATGGACAAAAGATAGGCGTGTTTTCTCCTGAAGCAAGAGAGGATGTCTCGTGAACTGCATCAGCTTGAACGTTGTATTAAAGGCAAACGGCTACAGTACAACGGAACTTAGTCATCGCCTTCTGGTGAGATCAACCTATTAATCTCTTCTTCATGCATTTTCATACCAGATGAAGTTCTCCACAACGATTATATTTTTTTATTAAATTGCAAAAACTAGTAGGGATACCATAACGTTTACCACAATTAATAAAGCTCAAAGGACAAGATGAGATATATTCATCTTATTTCATTTAAAGTGTTAATGGGATTGGTAATTGAATTTTCTCACAATGAAATGTGCAGAAATGACGTTTCCATTGCACTTCACGTAGCCTTATTTCCTAAAACTAATTATTATCCAGGTTGGATTACAGTTTCGACCCTACCTAAGTCTTACCAATACCCCCAGCGGGATTCGATCCATGACCCTACAGTGTATAATTCCGACACGTAACGTAGTCGATTACTATTGCAAAAAACACTTTTCTTCATTGAAAATCCCACCGCAGAATTTGATTTTCGAAAAGACCTAACATTCCTTTAAATTCACATCTGCCCTGTGATCCAAGGGCACTCGTGGTAATATGGCATAATGATTGATGTGTTGAGATTATTCGCTGCAATGTCATAGCTCAAGTTCTGTTAAAGGTATTGATAAGACCTAGGCGAGGTCGAAACTGCACTTCATACTGGATGATAACTTTTGGTAAGAAAGCTATGCGAAATTCAATTGAAATGTCATGTCTACTCATATTATTCTGAAAGATTTTAGCTATCAGTCCCCTTTTCACCCTAAACTAACCTGGATGAATTTATCTTATATTGATGATCTACTGGCACCCTCGAAAGCCTACTTATAAATGTAAGCTTGGTTTTAATCTGCTGTAATCAGTGCATTGTCTGGCAATCATATCACCGTAATTAGATCGTAGATATGAAGATCAAGATGGCGTGAATAGGTAAATGGGCGATACGAAGTGGGGTTGAGATGAACAGAAACCAGGAAATAAGTTATGGGCGTTGAGTGATGCCACAACGGTTGAATAGAACTTGTCACTAATAAGTTCTAACTTTGTGCTAAAGATAGCCGCTCTCACTAACGATGCTGGTGAAGCGTCTGGAAATATACCATGTCAACTGTCTGATGATGGAAAGCATCATTAGTACTATTATATAGGAGGCTGAACTGAGTAGATATCACGAGGCCTTCCTGTCACTCCGACCAAGTTGTGAATACGAGACAAACCCGTTAGCTTAGATTTGGTTTTAAGGATGATACCCTGCTCCGATGCTCTTCATCATACGATGGACGAAAGCTTAGCACGCTTTCACCGGAATCGAAGGAGATCAACTCGGAAATAGCGTCAACATGAATGTTTCAGTAAAGCCAATCGACATCCGGTCAATAGGAATCTGCCGTCGTCTTCTGGTGGGATCGACTTTCGAATGTGCACTGCAGCCCATAGGTCAAAGAATAATCGCAATATTTAAGTCATACTACTCAAGAATTGATAGTAGTAATAGTAGCGATTTTTCAAACAAGTGATAATGCCTATATACTGCCTATTGGATTTTGATTTTCACTACCTTCTGATTAATAATATCCATTATATTAAATTTAAAAATGTGGAAAACTTTTCTATCTTAGATTTTTTTAATGCTTTTTTAGTAGGATGGAACCAGTTGCATGACTTTATATGCTAAAGTCACTTCGACTGGTAATGTTTGGAATAGTACAGTATTTTCACTGGACGAATCACTCATATATTCGCGACCTGCCCGTAAAGGCCAAAACAGCTTCCAAAATACAGACAATACTCGGTGGAAAATTATCGGTTGTTGCTCTAAATTATGATCAAGAGTGTACGTTGTAGAAATCATTCGTTAATAGCTTGCTTTCGTATTGACTCCAAATCAAATTGGTTATGTAACAGCCAAAATTAGTCTGAGATTAGACTGAAGCCGAACACGAGCTTCATCAACACCATCCTGTTCACTTCTTCTTTAGAAACGAAGATAAGGAGAAATTGTTGGTGAGCGGAAGGGATATAGACCGTTGAGAAGAGCGCTAAATTGCCGAAACTGGGAAGGGATTAGGGAGGAAGAGATTACAGAGGTGGATGGCAAGTGGAGAGGTAATAATCAATTGTGAGAACAAGGCGGATGTAGAAAGACTATGAGGGTGAAAGAGGATAAAAGCCTAAGGACAAGAGTAGGAAGGAGAGCAAGAGAAATATCAAGAAGCGAGGATAGCAAAAATCAGGGTTGCAAAAGAGCCACAAGATAAAGTTTCATCGCGAATGACGTTCATTCTTTTAAATATGAAGAGAAGCTGGACTTCAGAGAATGATGCTAACGTAACTTCCATTTTCCTTGGAAAGCTTGGTTGAAGGAATTCGTAGATTGCCTTCTCCGAACATCGAAGGTGGATTGCCCTGGAGACATGACTGCTGGATTGGGCAGAAAAGAACTCGTCTTATGACCCGATGAATCCGTGTTAAGCTTTCATGCGTCATGTGATGGGCATGGTAGGAGCTAAAAACTATCATTTATGAAAATTCACCAAACAACGCTAAACCAAGAAGTGCTGGTTGAATGTTTTTTTTGTAAATTTTCTAAATGATAATTACTGGCTATGACAATGTCTGTTACAGGAGAGACGAAAGCTCAGCGCGGTTTCATTAGGGGCGCAGGATGGTGGACCGAGGTCTTCTTTGCACAATCCAATGGTTACGTCTTCAAAGCAGTTCTC